AAAAAAAAGAATTACATACACAAAGTTGCACCCTTTACGAATTAAAGGGTGATGAAAGAAAGAACCGTAAATCATTCCTAAGCATAAAATCACGACCAAGACAACGAAATTGAAGATCCCAATAGTAAAGATTGGTTCTTTATCAATATAATAGAAGGACAACAGAAATCAAAGAGAAAAGGTAAAACTCTGAGATACACTAACTGTGCTTGGACGTATTAAGTTAAACCCACAAGCACACAGCATACGATTTCATAGCAAAAGGAAAATGTACCATTTCTGGAATCAAGGAGTGAGAAGAGTTTTGCGTTCTTTCTTTTCTCTCCCTTTATGACACAGAGGAGAGTGGTAGAGTTGAAGTCGATGAAGAAAAGCAGACCAATCCGAATCCGGCAGTTTCGAGCTCAGGTGGTGGTAAAACCCTAAGGGCTTTTCTGTACATTTAGCATAGGGCTTATATTCGTTCTTGGGCCATAGAATTGAAACATAATCAGTCGTAGGGCCCCTTTTAGACATGTCTCGTAGGGCCGGCGGGACAAGTCGGCCTGCAGCCCGCCAAAACCCGACGTTTGGTGGAGTGGGCGGCACTAAATGGCCAGCACGGCCCACACCTTCCATGGGCCGCGGGCTAGGCGGGCTGGCCCGCTAGAATTAAAAATTAAATAACATAATAATAAAAAAAAAACTTAGAGGGGCGGCATGGGAGCGAAAAGGGGAAAGAGAGACCATATCCCCGCTCACAGCCCAGCCCAAATTGCCCAAGCTTTTCTCCTCTTTTTATTTTTCTATATTTTTCAGTCCAGGCACAATCTATTTTTTTTCTTTTCTCCCTCTTTTCTTTTTTTTTTTCTCCTTCCCAGCCAGGCCCAACCCACCTTCCGTCCTCCTCTTCTTCTTTGTCTTTTCAGCAAGTTCCATGGTCAAAATGGATTTACATAGGTGAGCTCCAACTTAATCCGACGGCCTCCGTGTCCGCGACTCTAAGCTCCGTCATATGCCGAAGCTTCGACTGGAAGTTTTATATCGCCGTCAATTTGACGATCTCTGCCCAAATTAGTCCACACCGACGAGCTTTTAGCGGGCCCTCGCCTCAAATCTGCATCAAGAAGAAGGATGAGAGAGATGCCTCTTGTTTGGGTTCAAGGTGAAATGTTCTTGCCTTCTTGGGTGAATTTGAAAGAGTATTCAGAGTTTGGTCGACGAGGGATTGCAACTTACGAGTTGCGGAGAAGTGAGATCTGTGAATGTATATATATATATATATAATTATATATATTAATTTTTTGGCGGGCTAGCCCGCGGCCCGCTCGGCCCGCCCTGTCAAAACCCGCGACTCGTGCGGGCTAGCCCGTTTAGGCCCGCTCTTTGGCGGGCCTACAAATCTCTAGCCCGGCCCACCATTTTGGCGGGGCAGGACGGGCTGGCCCATGGGCTAAAGCCCGTTTTGACATGTCTAGGGCCCCCTTTCGGTTGATATTATTTATCGTCATTTTATTCTGTTTGGTATGTCTATTACTCGCATATCATTTATGTGTTTTGTTTGATTTTATTTATTTTAATCGTTCAAGATCCTTGGTTATCGTGTTGTTCTTTTTGAGTCGTTTTCCGAGCAAGCCTTGAGTTTGAAACTCGACCCTTTTCGCTAATTTATTTCCGGACCAATTGGAATTTAATTCCAACCCTCTTGATAAACTCTTTTAGCCGTTTGAGGATAATTTGGGTGATCCGCTGTGAGTTAATTTTGGCCCAACTCTTTTAATATTTCATTGGCCCATTTGTGAGTAATATATCCTGGCCCAATTTCTTTGTTTTTTAGCCCCATAATTTTCTTCCTCCCCGTGCCTGACTGATTCAAATCTGGTTGAGATTTTCGTGGAGATTTTTCTCCCTTTCACGCACGTTTTCTCCCTTCAAAATCCAACCGAGTTATTTTATTTATGTTCACCACAGAAACATACGAAAATTTTTCCTTTTTTTTTACGGCTACCACCACCCCCGTCAATTTCTTTTTCTCTGTCGCACCTATTCCGACGAGAATTCCTTTCGCCGGCGTCCCTCTGAGCAGCTCCCATGCTATCACCTCGAGGCCTTCAACTGGGTTCGACCGCGTGTTCTCCTCCATGAAGCCCAGCCTATCCGTTCGTCTGCATAAGTGGCCGCCGTTCACGTCCGCCATTGCCACAACAGTCCCGACCTGTCGATGTCTGCCATCACCGGAGGATCTCTAACCTTCGGATGCACAGCACCAACTCGTACGTCGCTGAGTTCAACAGATCATTTCCGTTCGTGAGCAACGCCTTGTACAAGGAGTTCCAGGTTATCGAAATCTCGAACAATTTTCAACCAAACATGTAAATTCCCAGAGGAAGGTAACCAGTCAAATCTTCTTCGTTTTATTTCTGTAAGCTCGTGTTTGTTCGTTTTATTATATTCGTACTCGTGGAATCGTTTTCTCATCGGATTATTTAAACGGTTCGTGTTATATTCATCGTGTGTGATTCTTGAATTTTCGTGGATAATCGGAACTCTCTTTTTGTGTGAATCAATCTCTTTGATGTTGTCTTTAATTCGTATGTAAATTTGGAGCCTCGTCGTATTTTTTTAGCTGAGTTGTCGTTTTTGTCGTTCGTTTATTTTCGATCCTTAATTCCGTCTTTTCATTTCTCGAGCCCTAAAACATATTTTTATTAAATTTTCGAACTCTGTGATATTGGTTTTATGTTTGAAAATTTTCGTTAAATTTTTCAAATCCTCGTAGTGCCCGAAAATGGCGTCTAAATCCTTAGAGCATCTGCATTCGCCCGTTCAATTTCCCCATTTAAATGCAGTATTCCCCGTTCAACAAATGCAACCATCCATTAATGCGTGGGACCAATGTTACCATTAACAACATTGAACGGCTCTTTTGAGCCTTTTTTTTCTGCAACTGCGTTTATTTTTATTATTATTTATATTTTTTATACTCATTTTTTTGCCTATAAATACACTTCATTTATACACTTCTCCTACACCAAAAATTTGACACTTCTCCTACACAAAAAAATTACAAAATTGCTCATTTCTGAAAAAAAAAAATAGATCCCAATAATAGGCAAAACTTTCAAAATTTCTCAAGTTCTAATCCTATCAATCCTGATGAATTTTCATTCTTCCAAAATTCACAAACTCCGCCAAATTTACCATTTTCACTAGCTCCTTATCCTGCACAATTTTTTCCACAATTCTCATCAAATTTTCCTTTTATGCAACAATCCCAAAATTATCCAATGTCTGGCAATATTCAATATTCACAATATCCTTCACAAGCTTTATTTCAAAACCCACCGCCTGAATATTGGCAATACATAAGTAGTCAAAATCTGGTGCAATCTTCTCCGCAACAATCGAGTTAATTTTCTAGATCTCAAATGAGGAAAGAACTCGATACTCAAACTTACATTCCAGAAACACAATTGCAGGATCGTGAAGCAGCCACAAATGTTGAAATGCCAAGAAACACATGTTTTGCTGCTGAGGGCCCAAAAAAACGTCCATAATGGACAACGGAAGAGGACGTGCTATTGGCAAAGGCTTATATGACAATAAGTGACGATCCAATTACCGGTAATGATTAGAAGGCCGAAGCATTTTGGGTACGTGTTGCAAACTATTATAATGAAAATACACCTTCTGATTATATTTACAGAGATTTTAATATAATAAGATCTCACTGGCATGATACAATTCAAAAAAAGGTGTATCGGTTCAACGAGTGTTATAACAGTATTTACTGTGTGTATCAAAGTGGTTGTAGTGATGAGAATATATTAAGTCAGGCTTACGAAAAATATCGTAGTGAGAGTAATGGTGTAGCCTTCAATCTTGAGCATGTGTGGAGAATCCTAAAAGATCGTCCTATGTTCACTCCACAATCTTCCAATAATATTTTTGTTGAGAGAAAAAAACAAGGATTGATGAGTCTGGTGCCAGCAACACTTCATCAAAGGGAGATGCGAGCATTGATCTAGATGAACTTCATGATGTGGCTCGTCCAATCAGACAGAAGGTAGCCAAACGAAAGGCCAAGGGCAAAGGAAAATATAACCTTGATAAGATGACCGCAGAATACAAAAACATGGTTAAGCATCTTGCTGAGTTAACAAGCTTGAAAAAAGCTAAAGTTGAAGTTAAAAAAGCAACTCTTGAGGAAAAGAAGCGGAGGAATCGTCGAAAAGACTGTGATAATTTAATGAGGGACATAAGCCACATGCCCCAAGAGCAACGTATTCTCATGAGAAAATGTGCCAAGTAATTCGAGAGAAATGGAACTTGTAGACTTTGCATTATCTATTTTAATTATCCTTGTAATTCTGTACGTTGTGATTTGCAAAATTGAACTTTTAGCTTGTATTTCATTTAAGTTGTTTTTGTTATTCAAAGCAAACTCACATATTTTATAGTCAAAAGAAGGAAGCTTCCTCACAATTTCCTAGTCAAATGAAAGGAGCTTCCTTACAACTTCTTGGTCAAAGAAAGGGAACTTCCTCGTAAGTTCCGAGTCAAAGGAAGGGAGCTTCCTCTTAAGTTCCTGGTCAAATGAAGGGAGTTTCCTCGCAACTTCCTTACAAGAAGCATTTGTTTGGCTATAAGTACCTCGTTTGTATCTCATTCCAAGTGAAAGAAAAAGAAGAGTTGAGTTTAGAGAGTGAGTCTTTTATTGTTTTCACATTGGCGTGTTGTTGTTATTCCATCTTGTCCGATTCTATTTTCTAACAATTTACACACTTTAAATTCAATTGGAATCCTAAAAAAATATCTCAAAATTCATATAAATCCAAGTCTAATTCATCATCATCCACTGATAGTGAAGATGGTGATGACACTAACGATTTAGAAGTTGAAATGATTTCATCAATCGTTCGAAGTCACGAGTTACTTCAAGTATACCAACATGAAATTGAAGTTCGTAGAAGAAGAAGGTTCATCCAAAGAAATCGAGAAGATGGCATAACAGACTTGTAAGTGATTATTCTCTAACCATCCAGTCTATCTGGATCATAAATATCGTAGGCGTTTCTATATGCGAAGAGAATTATTCCCTCAAATTGTGAATGCACTTCATACACGATCATCATATTTCCAGCAAAACATTGATGTAGTAGGAAGACAAAGTTTGTCACCACTTCAAAAATGCACAACTGTCATTTGTCAGTTGTCTTATGGAGTCCCAACTGACCACGTTGATGAGTATTTACGTATGGGTGAGTCAACTGCTATCACTCTCTTTTTACATTTTGT